AATGGGCCTTGTAAGCACAAGTGGAAGAGGGTGTCTGGCTCCATGGTCCTGGGACCCCAGGATGGAGCAGGAGCCAAGACAGAGCCACGGCAACACTGAGAAAGCCATGGTCTGTCTACACAGCTCCTGTGTCCAGCGAGGGCTTTCCTGCCGCGGTCTGTGTAAGCCCATCACCTGCCTGCTGCTTGTGAGCGAATCTTTCCTCTCTTCTGCAGATGAAGTTAAGGCCCAGAGGGGGCAGTGTGGGACCAGGTGCCCACGCTCCATCTGCTTCTGTGCGCTCAGGAGTGGAGCCAACCAAGCCGGGCCCCAGTCTCAGAGGTCTCAAGATAGGCCTCCCTATGCTCAGTGGGTCTTTGGGGCTAAGGACTGAAAACCACTGTAAGGGACACCCTCATGGGTTCCAGCTGGGCTTCCTGGGTAGTCGCACTGGACCAGGCCACTCCAAAGCTCAGGGTACATACTAGCACAGTAGGCTGACAGCCAGCAAAGGTGGCTACTGTGGTCATTCCCATTTTACAGGTGGGGAAATGGGAGACAGAGAGGTTACTAACTTGCTCCAAGTCACACAGCATCTAAGATTCAAACTCAGGCACCTGGTCCCAGACCCTATACTCCTGACGCAGCCCTACTGCAGACTGGCTGAGGAACAGGAAGCCGGGTGTGGCCTTGAGGCCTCTCAGTGCTTGGTGATTTGGCCAGTTGCACAACTTCTCTGTCCTCTTGGACAAAACACAGATACACTTTGTCCTCTTCCACCTCACTCCACCCTCATCCAAACATCCAACCTTTATCTCTGCAATATTGGAAGGGTTTGATTTTTCTGGCTGGGTTTCAGAGATGGGGCTAGAAAGAGGGCTGAGGCCACGGTGGCTGGAATCCCAGAGGATCCTCCGGAAGACCCACAGGAGTATCGAGAACCACAGATGCTCCCCAAGAGCTTGCTGCGAGCCAGGTGCTCCCGTGCATATTTAACCTGCAGAATAGCTCCTGGAGAAGCCGGGCCCTTATCATACACAGGAAACTGAGGCTTAGAGAGGTGAGGACGCTTGTTAAAGGTCATACAGCTAATGGCAGGCTAGACACAAGCAATCTGGCCTCAGAGCCTCGGAGCTACAAGTGATGCTGACCTTCTGGAATGGGCAGTTCTGAGGTTTCCCATTTCATCTTCAGGCTTTGACTTTGAACACATGGGAGGGTAAGGGCCAGGTTGTGGGGTGGAAGCCCAGAGCTAAAGCCCAGTTCTGTAAGCAACTAGCTCTGTGGTTTTAAGTAAGTAACCTCTTCGGGACTCAATTTTTTTCACCTATACGGTGGGGCTAAGGATGATTTCCATGTCCTAGTGTGTGCTTTGAGGGGAGAGTCAGTGAGAGCACTTTAAAGCGCCCAGTGTGTGGAACTCACAGTGGCAAAGATGGGGATTCTGACACTGCTGTTTGCTCAGCAGAGGGTTTAGCTATGGGCGATCAACCAGTACAGGGAGGGTTGGATGTAAAATCTGTCAGACATTGTTGAGTAGAAACCCTGTCTCTGTCCTGAGAAGGACAACTGGCCAGAAAGACCTCTGCCAGCTCTCGGGCACCAGTTCAACATGCTGCAGGTGTGGGGAGGGCTCCTGGGGAGGTCAGCGCCCTCCCACCCACCATCCTGCTCCTCTGTCCTGTAGAGGATTCTTTCTTCACTCTGCAGACAGGAAGCCGAGGCTCAACGAGGTGAAGTCATTTGCCCCAAGTAAGTGACAGGGCTGGGTCTTAACTAGGCTTTATTTTTTTTCCTTTTTATGTTTTATTTTATTTTATTTTATTTTATTTTATTTTATTTTATTTTATTTTATTTTATATTCAATAACTCTCTACCTTTATAGCATACAAAACAAATTTTTTTCAGTATAAAAACACTGTATCAGTCAATTCAAAGATATTACTATACATATTATCATCAATAGGTAATTTTCCATTTTTGTGTCCATTAAATGTTCTTTTTCCCTTTGATTCCCTTCTACCCCCTCATTTCCCATCCTCCTCCCACACTGTCTCTAGTATCTACAGTTGGTCTCCCTGCTTTTGCATCTTCCGGTTTCTGCCTTAGAGCACAGACATTTGGTATTTGTTAAGTGGGGACATACAATGCCTCTCTTTCATAGTCTGGCTTGCTTTGCTTAGCATGTTAGCTTGCTTCCATATTTGTCCACTTTCTATCAAATGCCAGGGTCTTGTTCTTTTATGGCTGAATAGTATTCCATAGTGTATGTGTACCATACTTTTTCAATCCATTCATCTGTTCTTGGACATTTGAGTTGAGTCTATGCCTTAGAAACTGTGAATATCTGCTCTAAAAATGGATGTGCAAGTGTTTTTCCAACTGAGTGTATTTCTATCCTTTGGGTAGATACCCAGGAGAAGAATTGCTGGATTGCATGGTCTTTCTATTTGCAGGTCTTTGAGGAGCCTCCATATTGTTCTCCACAGTGACTGGACCAATGACATCCCCACCAGCAGTGTAGGAGAGTTCTCCTTTCTCACAGTCTTGTCAGCACTTATCATTCTTTATTTTTTTAATCTTAGTCATTCTGACTAGGATTAGGTGACATCTCATTGCTTATTTGACCTTATGCCATAGTTGCATCCTGGGCCCTGCCAGATGGCTCTTGGCTCCTCCCTCATTTATGCTCCTGGGTAGAAATGGTGTAGACTTGGCAAGAGGAGTGGCTCATTTCCTTCTCCCTGCTCACAAAGACGGTTCCTGCGGGTCCCAGTTTCCTAAACTGTCCCTGTGAGATGTCCGTTCTTCTGGATGAAAGCCAGGCCTCTGTGTCCCTGCTCCGAGTACACCACCATCCACCTCTCTTCTCCAGCCTCCCTCCCAAGCACTAGGCTTTGAGGGCCTAGGCTGCTGCTTCAGTGAAGGAGCAGGTGGAGAGCAGGTCTCTGGCCCTGAGTTATAAGGAAACAGATTGGGGGGCAGCACATTGCTGGGACCAAAGCTGGGCCCCAGCTCTGACATTCACAGGGTCTGACACCTGAGTACGTGTTGTCTGTCAGAGTGGCGGGAAACCAAGGTTCTACCTTTGCCACTGACTCGCGGGTAACTGTGGCAAGGTGCCGACCCTCTCTGGGCCTGAGACTCTTCCCTGCAAAAGGAAGAAACCAGAGTAGGCATTGTGACCACCTGCGCCCCCCCACCATGCGTAGAGGGGGTTGGGGAATGTGCTCGGCCCCCCCCACAGCTCCTCTGTGGCCCCCCCCACTCCAGCTCACAGGCCCCAGGGGGGAGGGACCTCACCCCATTCCTCCCCAGGGGACTTCTCGGTCTGTTTGTTCCTCAAACCCGGATACCCTCTGGTTAAGGACCCAGTGCTAGTGCACAGAGAACGGTATTTAGGTCTCATCCCACTTTGTACTGCTGGGGAGAGTGGGATTCCAGGTCGAGAGCATGCCCACCCAAGGTCCAGAGGATAGTATGGCCCTATCTGGGCTAGATGCCACAGCCTCAGGCCCCAAGGCCACTCTACTTATTTACTGTCCCTGCCCTGTGGAGGCTCCCCTCCTGCCTGCTCACTGAGCCCTGCAAATACTGGAAATTTCCATAATCCATGAAGGACCACACAAAAAGCCATTTGAGAAGTAGAGCAAATAAGGGATCTGGAATTGTCCAGAAGGAAGCCCTTAGGGCAATGACAGAAAACAAACATCGTGTGGTCTGCTCCATCCCCAGCACCTAGAGGCTGAGCACCTGCAGAAGGCTTTGTGTTTCATTCCGTCATTCCATTGGAAACAAACATTTTTTTAATTTAATTTTTTTTTACATTTTTAAAAATACATTCAATCACATTTTTTAGCTTACAAGGTGATCATTTCAAATGAAACCCTGGAAACAAACTTTTTAAAGTCCAGGGGGCTGATGGAGCTCAACCTTTCTTGCTTTTAACTTGTCCCCCTCAGGTTTTCCTATCCCTAATTCAAGGACACCTTTCTCTTTGTATTTTATGAAGACGATGATTTTAGTTATGGGACTAATAGCTATGTGGCTACAGGCCACAGTTCAGTTTCCCCATCTGCAGACAGAACAGACAGAGCTCAGGGGCTGCAGGGGCATGGCCCTGAGGATATACAGAGTAGAGTGCGCTCTGGGAATGGGAGAGGCTCCGTGTTGCTGTGGGTGACTGACTCCATCCATTTCTAGGCTATGCCTAGGTTAGCCACAGTCCTCCCCATTCCCTGATGTCTCACCCCAGCCTAGCTCCTTTGAGTCTGCAGCACCTAGCAGCTCTCTCTCATATGAGGGGCTCTCTCAGACCTCTCTGAGGTACAATTTGGGGTCTAGACTTATTGCACTAAATTCTCCCAGGAACCTCACTTCAAGATAAGTGAAATGAATGCTGAAGAAATTTGGACTTACTTTGGTAAATGACAGAGCCTGGATTAGAACCTAGGTCTGTTGAAGCCCAAAAAGATGCTTTTTCACTTCTTGCAGTCCCCTTCACACACACACACACACACACACACACACACACACACACACACACACCCTGCATTAAAGGAAAGACATGTGTCTCTAACACCCCAGTTGTGTGAGAGCCCAGACCTGGGACTCAGCTGGTGACCAAGATGCCAGGTGAGCAGTGGCTGGGAACACTGCGGGGACAGCCCTCTCCCTCGGGAAAAGCCACCAGGGGCTGAGGCTCCTTGTGACTTGTTCCCAGGGAGTTGGTCGCAGCTCCACTGTGTCCCAGCTGTGCGCCATTGTGCATGGTGCTTCCTCTGCACAGCAGACCCCTCACCATTAAGTAACAGGTTGGATGCGAGCCCTTCTGGGGCTGCTCCGGCTTAAAGAGAGGCTTTACCTTGAAGAGAGCAACAAAAAAGCATCTTTTTTTGGCTTCTACAGACCTGGGATCTGGCTCAATTCCCAGGTAATCATTAGTGAGTCCATTATTCTTCCTGCGCCCCAAGTTCCTCTTTTGCAAAACGCGGACTGTGGCACTTACACGTCGGGATCGTTGCCTATGTAAGTGGACTCAGGACGCAGGTGTCATTCTGGTCCGGCTACTTCACTTGCTCAGTGATTCTGGGTGGGTGAATTAACCTCTCTGGGAAAACAGCAATATTACGCCTCCCCAGGACTGCGACGAGAACAGGAGGAGCCCCGACCTGTGAGTGCTCAGAGCAGTCCTTGGGACATGGTGGGCAGCCTAGCCCTGTTGCCATCAGTTATGAAGGTGTGGGAAAATGGTTGGCAGCGGTCAGGCACTTAGTGCAAGTTGAGCACCCCTAATTCAAAAATCTGTAATCCAAAATGCCACACCTCACCACATGTGACAGGTCGCCGTCAAAACTCTGAGTTCGCAAATACTGTACGAAATTCCCTTCAGGCTATGTGTACAGGTATATAGGAAATGTAAATCATTTCATGTTTAGACCTGGGTTCCATCCCTAAGATACCACATTGTGGGTATGCAAATATTCTAAAATCTGAAAAAGTCTGAAATCTGAAACTCTTCTGGTCCCTGGCATTTTGAATGAGGAATATTCAACCTACAGAAGTCATAAACCATGACTGATTTCACGGTGGTGTCAGTCATGATCAGTGGGAGTCGCCATGCCCTCTGACCGGGTTGGGCGCCCCCCCTCCCCTCTCTTGCAGGACAATGCCGTCCTCTATCCAATGGGGCCTCCTGCTACTGGCAGGCCTGTGCTGCCTGGTCCCTGGCTTCTTGGCTGAGGACTCCCACGGAGACGCTGCCCAGGAGACAGACGCTTCCGGCAATGAACACGATCACTTAAGCTGCCACAGGATCGCTCCGCACCTGTCCAACTTCGCCCTGCGCCTGTACCAGGAGGTGGCCCAGAAGTCCAACACCACCAACATCTTCTTCTCCCCAGTGGGCATCGCGACGGCCTTTGCCATGCTCTCCCTGGGGACCAAGGCAGACACTCACACCCAGATCCTAGAGGGCCTGGATTTCAACCTCACAGAGAAAGCCGAGGCCGATGTCCACAGAGGCTTCCACAATCTCCTCGAGACCCTGAACAGGCCCGACAACCAGCTCCAGCTGACCACCGGCAACGGCCTGTTCATCAACAACAGTATGAAGCTCGTGGATAAGTTCATGGAGGACGCCAAGAAGCTGTACCACTCAGAAGCCTTCTCCGTCAACTTCAAGGACACCGAAAGTGCCAAAGAACAGATCAACAAGTATGTGGAGAAGGGAACCCAAGGAAAGATCGTGGATTTGGTCAAAGAGCTGAACGAAGATGCGGTGCTTGCTCTGGTGAATTACATTTTCTTTAAAGGTGAGGCCACACAACCAGTTTTTGGAAACAACCCCAAAATATGTTCAAATGGTCAGTTCTTTAAGTTCCCTTTGCAGTGGATTATGGGCTAGGGACATGTCGACATGGGTTCTTCAAGTCTCCACACACAAATGACACAAAATTCTCCATGGAATGACTTTGGCCACTAATCGATTAAACGGTCAACATCATCAGTTTCTCTGCATGAGTTTCGGGACTGTGGTTTATTATCCTAAAGTGCTTTGCAAATCCCTGCCAGGAAGGGGACTAGAATATGTAGTCTTTCCCAAACTATGGGAAAACACATGGTAGCCGACCGTATGAAGGGGACTGTTTTGGAAGGAACATCCTTTGGACAACCCTAGTGTTATAGAAACTTAGCAGCCTGAAAGACCTGAGTTCAAATTCAGCTTTTTTTTTTCTTCTTTTTTTGTAAGAGATTTTTGCTGCAGGATGTGTGTGGTAGCCAGGGAGACAGAGAGAGACAGAAAAGCAAAAAGCAAGAAATCACTCCCCACAGGGGGGATGGCCATGCCACAGTCCTTTCGCCTCCATTCTCCTCTCAGGATTTTGGGCATGCGTGCACATGCGCCCAGCATGAGTTTTTTGTTTGTTTGTTTGTTTTGGAGAGGTTATTTATTATTATTATTATTATTATTATTATTATTATTTTTGCTATAGGGCACGTGCACTCGCCAGACAGAGAGAGACATAGAGACAGAAAGTGAGAAATCACCCCCCAGGGGGATGGCCACACCGCAATCCCTTCTCCAGTTCAAATTCAGCTTTTTTTTTTCTTCTTTTTTTGTAAGAGATTTTTGCTGCAGGATGTGTGTGGTAGCCAGGGAGACAGAGAGAGACAGAAAAGCAAAAAGCAAGAAATCACTCCCCACAGGGGGGATGGCCATGCCACAGTCCTTTCGCCTCCACTCTCCTCTCAGGATTTTGGGCATGCGTGCACATGCGCCCAGCATGAGTTTTTTGTTTGTTTGTTTGTTTTGGAGAGGTTATTTATTATTATTATTATTATTATTATTATTATTATTTTTGCTATAGGGCACGTGCACTCGCCAGACAGAGAGAGACATAGAGACAGAAAGTGAGAAATCACCCCCCAGGGGGATGGCCACACCGCAATCCCTTCTCCATTCTCCTCTAGGGATCTTGGGCACGCATGCACATGCGCCCGACGTGAGTTTTAAGCCACCGGGTCCGGGACGTGAACCGCGGTCAACTACGTGGGAGTCCAGCCACATAACCATTACACCATCCACTGGTCCTCTCTTGCTAGCTTTTAACAAAGAAGCACCCATTTTCACTCTTTGGTTTATCACCTTTTTATCTTACCATGAACAAACTAATGCCCTTGCCATGAGGTCTGGGAAGGATTGAACAAGGTACAAAAAATGTGGCCTAGGTGTGGCGCTCAGTGGGTGACCCACTGACTTATACCTCAGCTGCCTCCTGCCTCCAAGTGGCTCAGTTTCATACCTCAGTGGGGGCCCAGGGCATTCTAGGCCAGCTTCTAGCCCAGTGGAAATAGGCTGGGTCAGGGCAGGGGATGTAGGCAGGGCTGGCCCTCCTGCCTGGGGCTTCCTGGTTCTAGGCTCAGCCTGCACAGGGGAGACCCAGGAGGAGGCACCACAGTGGAAGACACAAGGCAGGGCTCATCCCCTCTCTAGGCCCATCACCCTCTCCTGTTCAATGAGAACACTGGGCTCGTGGCCCCTGTCCACTCTGACTCCCAGGACAGAGAGGGAGGTGGCCCAGGTACCTGTATGCCACATGTTGGTCCAGGAAGGAGCCTCAGGACAGGGACAAGGATGATGCCGTAGAATGTCACTCACCTGCCAGTTAATAAGGAACAGGGAGCCCAAGACAAGGCAGCTTCAAATGTGATCACTGCCAGAAATCCTCTTTTATAATTCCCAAGTCGCCCTCAAATAAACATAAAATCCATCCTTGCAGAGCCCGGATGGCGTGTCGCAGCCTCTGTGACGCAGGAACTCCCCATGAAGGGCTCAGGGCTTCGTCTTGCTACCACTTACACCACCCGGGGCTGACACCACCTTCACTCTCTCCAGGCAAATGGCAGAAACCCTTCGATGCTGAGCATACCACCGAGGGGGACTTCCACGTGGATGAGGCCACCACAGTGAAGGTGCCCATGATGAAGCGCCTGGGCATGTTCGAAATTCAGCACTGCGACACGCTGTCCAGCTGGGTGCTGCTGATGGACTACGTGGGCAACGCCACCGCCTTCTTCATCATGCCGGACGAGGGCAAGATGCAGCACATGGAGCGTGTGATGAACAAGCAGATCCTCTCCAAGTTCCTGGAAAATAGACACACCAGGTGACTTCTCTGTGCAGGCACTGACCCCGGAGCTGTTTATATCCTGCTCCTGTTGGGATTGAGGCCCCTGGGACAGCCCAGAGGGCAGGAGAGGGCACGCCCACATCCATCAGGTCACAGCTTCGTGCAGATCTTAAGGGTCCACAGGGAGGCCAGCGCTCAGTCCCGGCAGTGCTGTCAGGCTCTGGAAGAGGGATAGTGCTCAGACGACGGGAGCATAGACACTGTCCGTCCGAAGCCCCAGTGCTCGGGCAGGAACAGGCACGCCAGCTCCCCTACGGCAGAACCAAGAATGAGCAGGGGCCAGGGCTAGCAGAGCAGTGTGGAGGAGGACGCGGTGTCCTGGAGGGATGGGGTGGCGCCTTCAAGGACAGGCCAGGGAAGACGGGCCAGAGCTAGTCTCCAGGATGCATTTGAGATGTGCCCTTGTCTCCACCCTGTCCCCAGAGTGGGGTCCGGGCCAGCAGGGGAGCCTCCCTGAGCATGCTCCATAGTAGTGTGGACCTGCTCACGTGCCAGGGTGCCCACCACTGCTGGCCACAGTACAGGATCCACGTACAGCAACATGAAACACCTCCAGGGAGGAGCTACTACCTGGATGAGGACGTCTGTCCCTCTGCCCGCCCCACCCCTCCCGAGGTCCACACCCAGGCTAGAGAAGAGAATCCAGAGGGCTGTGACCATGGCTGGTCACTGAGCACTGAGTCCAGTCAACTCACCCATGTCGCATCCCCTGGGCCTCGCTGTTCCCCATGGACAAGGACAGCTGAGCATCAGCCTGGGGTGCTCACCTCCTGCTGTCCCTGAAAGGATGTCTTTCAGCACCTGTCACCATGATCCCCATTGTCCTGGGGAGGGGGCAGGCTGGTCGGAGGGAACCACTTGGTGCAGAGAGAATGAGACTTGCTCCCATGAGCACACCCTCAATCTGCCTGGAGGCCTTCTCCGAGGAGTTGGCATTGCACAGGCTGCCAGGAGAAGATGACCTGCTCCTGCTAATACGCTCTAGACCAGCTGCAGAGGACGCTGGAAGTAGAGGAACCTAAAGCCAGGAACAATATCTGGACTTGGGGTGGTGGTGAGGGGTGGGTACCCAGCACTAAGGGTAAGACACAGCAGAGTACAGTGCACTGGTCCGACCAGTCGGGTCTGTGTGGACGGGAGCCTCAGCCCTGCCCTGAACCTTGTGTTCTTTCCTGCATGACAGGTCAGCCAATCTGCAGTTCCCCAAGTTCACCATTTCTGGAACCTACGATCTGAAGGAAGTCCTGAGTGACATGGGCATCACCAAGGTCTTTGGCAGCGAGGCTGACCTCTCAGGGATCACAGAGGATGCACCCCTGAAGCTCTCCAAGGTGAGGTTGCCCAGACCTCCTCGTCCCCCGGTGTCACAGAGGGTGCAGTGAAGGGATGAGGCCGAGGGAAGGGCCGAGGACAGAAAGGAAGACCCAGACTGCGCCCCTCCACCTGGACTGCGTTGATCCCCGAAGGTGGACGTGGGCAGGAGCCTGGGTGGGAGGTGGCTGCCTGTGCTGGGGTAAGTAGGGACCTGCCCTGAGACTCTCAGTGAGCCTCGATCTCCCCTTTACCCTGGCCTTCTCATCCTCGGGTCATAGTTGGGCCTGTTCCCTGAGAGGGGCTTGGGCTCAGACACCCAGGGCACATTCTGGCCCCACCTCCTGTGTCTTTTGCATTACTGGAAAACCACCGAGTCTGAATTTCACCAGAAAACGCCACTAATTCAGGCCCGTATGCGGGCACCTGAGAATGGGCCTGGCTGCTGTGTGGACTTCCCTGGGAGGGTCACCATCCAATCCTCATCCCGGGGAGCTAAATCAGACCCAAGAAGGAGAGATCCATGGGACGTGGGACGCTGCAGGAGGTCTTCCCTTCTGAGGCTGTGGGGTGTAATGTTAGGGAGGGACGTGAATGCTAGGGTACCCGAGGAGGAGCAGCCGAATTCGGCACAGGCTGAGCCAGGAGAAAGGTCTGAGTGACCCCCAGGCACTTACAGGAGGATGTGCCCAGGGCAGGGAGGTCCCGGAGGATGACTCTCCCCATGAGCCTCAGAGACAAGCCTCCCCATCTGCCCCGCTCGGGCCTGGGCTTGGGCCGGCACCGCCTCAGAACGTTCCTCTGCTTCTCTCCGCTCCAGGCCGTGCACAGGGCGGTGCTGACCATCGATGAGAAAGGCACCGAAGCTGCGGGAGCCACAGTGCTGGAGGCCATTCCCATGTCTATACCGCCCGAAGTGTCATTCAACAAACCCTTCGTTATCATTATTTATGACCATGTCACCCACAGTCCCCTCTTTATGGGAAAAGTGGTGAACCCCACACTGAAGTAACTGCCTCCCAGGCCTCAGACCTCCCCTCCAGCGCCTCCCCCTCTGTCCATCACATTAAAGAAGGGCTGCCCTGGGCCTGAGCTGCAAACCCTCACGCTGCTGTCTGAGTCTTCTCTGGGCCTGGGGTGGTGAGGGTCCAGGTTTCCCTGCCTGTGGATCCCACAGCTGTAGCTCCCACCCTGGAGTCCAGATGCTGCCACTCACTAGCTGTGTGACCTCAAGGGTGTCACCAAACCTCTCTGAGCCTTGCTTTCCTCATCGATGATAGTCAAAGCCTACTTTTCATTGGCATGAGGTTCCAATGAGAGAACCAAACGAAGGCAATGGGACAGAACACGAACGCAGGGTTGTGATTCTCGCATACCTGACCCCTTCCAGGGCTCAGACACTGAAGTGCATCACGGGACTGTCTGGTTTAATCCTCATAGTGACCCTGTGATCTGCCAATGGGTCTGCTAGAGACAAGGATACTGGGGCCCAGGGGCCTCCTGGACTCCCACGATGTCAATCAGCTCATAGGTGGTTTCCCGGCTTCTCTGCACTCCATGTCCTCACTGGCCCTTTCCAGGGCCAAGCTGGACCCATGCAGGGCCAATTACTCCCCACGCCCTATGGATCAGACGTAGCCCTTGGCTCGCAGCTAAGATGCTTCCAGAGACAAACCTCCTCTGATGCTGAACAACCCCCTGCTGGTGCTCTAGCCAAGGAAGTTGAGATAACTTCTAGTCCCGAGTATCAAGCTGCTGGGCTCGGTATATTTCTCAGGAGCATTCTGTAAAAGAGGGGGCAGATGTGGGCCAGCAGGTGGTGTGGTGGCTAAGGTGCTGGATCCCACATGCCAACTCTGCAATTCGAATCTCGGACCCAGAGGCTTACAAAACACCAGGCACTTGTGTGCGTGTGCCAAAAACCCTAACAGGAAAATGGAGAAGAGATTGTGGCGTGGCCATACCTCCTGGGAGGTGCTTTCTCACATTCTCTCTCTCTCTCCCTCTCTCTCCTGTGCCCATGGCAAAAATCCAACTAAAGGGGGAGGCAAATCTGGGTGTGTTTCCGAGGCTAAGAGCGAGCACACTCACCTTACACATCGTCCTTTGCCTTGACCATTTGACTGCCGCAAATGAGGCCCTGGTGGGGAGACACTCTCTCCAAGCTGTAGAGGAGAGAGGGGAGTCCACGGCTCCTCTTTGAACCACCTGGCACGGGCAGGGTGGGCAAAGAATCAGGACAACCTCGTGACGCTAAGGTCAGATGTGGTCACAAAGCAGCGGTGAGACAGCCACGCCCCTCAGCTCTGCTTTTTTCTGCAGGCTTAGAAAATCTGTCTCTGATCCGACCTTCACAGCCAGTGCCCACTGATAGCCGGGCAACTGCAGTCCCGGAACAGGCCTAGGAGGCAGGTCTCTCTCACCTCCCAGTCCGTGGTGGTCAGGACGAACAGCCCAGCCTCCAGGTCCACACGGCACGACTGCTCTGCTCCGACACCAGCCGAAGCAGAGCTGCTTGGAATTCTGGGGTGTTCCAGGTAGGCGAGGAACACCGTACTCTCAGGGTGACAGGGACACCTTAGCCCAGGCAAGGACAGCAGGTGCACACCACCTGGCAGTGTGCAGAGCACCGGCTTACACGTGAGCTCTGGCCTCCCTGTGGCACCATCTGAGCCCCGTGTGTAAAGAGGACAGCGGTTGGTGTCTGAGTCAGAAAAGAGGCGTGAATTACCCATTGTTTTCCCTCCCACGTGCCCACTCGATCCCACCCACAAAGAACAAAGAAGCAATTTCCATGAAGAGCCACTCAGGGAACATACTCCGCGTGGGGGACAGAGGGAAGGACGCCGGTCTGTGGTGGAGGATACTGTGGACAAGTGAGGCCCGCGGTGGGCCCGGTCCTTTCCTGAGCGGTAGGAAACCACCGACCGACAACCGCAAAGAACTCGGAGTACCCAGAGCTGCTGGGAAGGGGGAGGCCTTGCAGAGGGCCTCACAGGCAGGGAGCAAGCACACACAGCCGTCAGCGCAGGGCCAGCTGAAGAAGGAAGCCGCTCAGTTTGTGGAGCCCAAGTTCGGGCAGAGAAGTCAGGGGAGGGTGTCTCCTCAGGGCAGGCTCCCTCCCCACAAGGCCAGGGCAGCAGCTCAGGATGGCAGGAGCACACTATGTATCTGAAGGGTGGACTGTGAGCCGGCTGTGTGACCCTGAGGAGGGTCCTCAACCTCTCTGGGCCGTAGTTTCCTCATCAGTAATGGCGGATAAAAGACTTCCTTGGCTGAGTTTCCCTGGGGCCTCAGTGAAAGGGTGACATCCTTAAGTCCCTCTGTGTGTGTGTGCCCAGCCCACAAGACTTCCTCTGGGCTTGCTCTAGCCTAGGAGAGACCTGGTCTTGATCTCACACTGCTGGAGGTGGGGAAGCTGTCTTACTCGGGGGTAGTTTGAGGAAGCCCACATTCACACAGGCATAAGCCACAAGCTCCAAATCTCACCAGAGCTCGAGGCCACTCCCACTTCTCTACGCCCTCTTCACCCTAATCACGAGGCCAGGTGCCATGGAGGGATCTGCAAGGTCATTGCTGACATCCCACGTACGACAGCGGATGTCCACCAACAGGGGCTTGGTCTGGCTCACAAGGGACCTGGCATCTCCCTGCACGTGGCCTCCCTGTGCCTTCTGGAAGTACACTGAGATAGCCAGGCTCTGAGAGAAGTCCTGGCGCCCACCTGGGATGACGACTGACACAGGGACAGCAGGAGGGAAGGTGAAGGGACCTGGCATGACCCGGTGAGGAGGGTCAGTTACACACGCTCAGCTCTTCCCCACCTCCGCACTGTGCTGAGAAGGTGCCAAAGCACTTGAAACTGTAGGTCCTGGACGCTACGAAAGATGCAGCAGATCAGGCCAGCAAGGGGACGGCCCTTTGCCCTCAGAGTCAGAGCTGCATTTCCAGATGCAACGTGCTCACCTCCGAGGTTACTGGGGCCACAGTGAGCATGGCGTTGTGAGCAATTGCAGCTGCGAGACTTGTGCTGTGCCTTTGTGTTACTGCACATATTCACTCACACACACACACACACTGTTGTGTTACTGCACACATTCACTCACACACACACACACACACTCACACACACACGACCTCAGTTAGTCTACAATGATTAAGGCATCAAAATGTGAAAATTGGAGTGCATGTAACGAGAAGGAAGGACAGAGAAATACCAAGTCCTTCTGACTGTGAAAGACTAAGGAGGTGAACAACAAAAGGGAAAAACTCTCAGTTCCCTCGAGCACCACTGAGCAGGGCAGGCTCTAACCTGCGGGGCCTGCTAAAGGCTGACGCGCCCACACGAGCCAAGTGCCTTCAATTCTGCCATTGGGCAGGCGTCCGTCAAGGCTGGGGATTCCAAAGGTGAAGTGTCGAGGCATGAGCGTTCCCTGGTCTGGACAC